TCGTTGGGGTCCGATTGGGTCGGAAATGATCGACATCACGTGTCCGTCACTTTTTTTTCTGGATGGCTAGGGTACTAAGGAACGTCCATCGGTGGTTCCCGGGAATTACATACTTGTAGTAAAATGCGGTGTAGAAGATGGGAAGGCATATAAAGGATATGTCTATCAGACTCGAGTAGATAAGATTGACATAAAATTTGGAAGATCATTTTTAGAAGGAGTCTATTCACCGAATGCAAAGTTCGATGTTCGATTCACTTTTAATCGCGTGGCAATGAGGAGGATGCATCAAGCTCTTAACAATACCAACGTGAACTTTAAACGATTGTTTCCTCATAATCGTCATAATTATGAAAACTATGAAGATGGTAAAAATAATGAACAAATAACCGAATTTTACACTTCCCAGGACGAATATCAAAAACGTGCGGTAAAAATCATTAAATCAGGAGAACATCATCCTTTACCTTTTATTATCTTTGGTCCTCCAGGAACAGGTTAATATATTTTAACATTAATATCCAGATCACATATCAAGATTACGCGAACTATTGATTAAAAATACCTTGATCTTTATCCAACGGTTCAAGATATTTTTATTCTAATTTATATCAAACAAATCATTTATTTATATGTCTGGAATTAATATTATAGGCAAATCTGCCACCGTTGTTGAAGCAATATTACAGCTCCGAAATGATAAAAAAAACAGAATTCTTGCTTGTGCGGCGTCAAATGCAGCAGCAAATTTATTGTTGAAAAAGTTAAGCGAACATTTACTACCCAAAGAAATGATTCGAATCTATGCTACTTCACAGAATCTAAATAAACTAGATTCAGATCTTCATGACTACTGCATTATATATAATGGAAAGTTTTATACTCCAACATTAACTTATATCGAGCAACGACAGGTTGTCGTGACTACCTGTAATTAGTGCTCCGAATCGGGTCGGGCCAACCCGAAACCCGACCCGAAATTTCGGGTCGGGTCGGGTTCGGGTTGAGCATTAACCCGCCCCGAACCCGACCCGACCCGACCCGAAGTTTTTTATTTAGTTGTCTTTTTTTATTCGCATTTGATATTT